GACAGTATTATAGATAAAATTTACCTATAGCCTCGATGCAAGCCTGCAACACAAATCTGATATATATATATATTTTTTTTTTGTTGACTCCATTTAGATCGTTGGACGGACTTGCATATCGATAAAAATGCATTTGTGCAAACACGAATGCACACACACAGACTTGAATAACCGTAGATGGCAGAGTATAGGCTCGTGGCTAATCCAGCGAAAGGAAGTGACGGCTTCGCGGAGGTCAGGCCTTAAGTCAATCGTATTCTCGAGCGCGCGACTTTATTTACCCTGGTGTTCTATGTATGGTCTACGCACTGTAACCACACGTACGCGTTGTGGTATGCAAATTTTGCGAACGTATATGGTTTATTGGTGTTTTTTTTAAAGATTTGTGTCGTCTAATAAGCCATCAGGTGTCGGTGGTGACTATATTTTTCTTAACTTATTTAGAAATGAAAACATATAATCTCACAACCCCTTGATAATAGAATCAGGACTCGATGTTCCTGAGACGATTTTTTTCAACGAACTGCACGAGTATCAAGTTTATTGCAAAAATTATTTGAAATCATATCATCAAGTTATGGGATATCCTACGTGATCGTAAGATAGGGCATCTGCATGAGATCCTACGTAATAACATGTAAAAGGACATACTTCTTTTTTTTTCACCAAGACTTTCAGTTTTATCGTAGATTGTTAATTTTTAACCACTAGGGGTAAGACAATAGGGGATAGAACTTCGACTTTTCAATCATTCTTAGCCATCACTGTCATCTAAAGTGAACAATACCTACGAAAAAGTTGTGTTTCATTGAGATCCACACAAGTTTTTTCTCATTTTAAAACATTTGAGTGAAAAAACACATCAACCTGTAAAGTTACGTAAGGGACTTTTGGTTTCAATGAAATCTCTCCAAACAAAATCACGATGTTCAAATATCAAATTAGCTATCAAGTTTTTACTTGAGCAATTTCATCTCTGGCACACGTCAATTCATCATTTTATTAAATCAACCAGAAACGTACGATTCGAGTGTGTCAGTAAGCGATTGTATTGTATAAAAAAAAAAAAACGAAGAAAAATATAACATTGAAAGACAAAGTTCCTTACAAAAGGAATCATGAGATAGAGAGGGGAGGGGGGGGGCTAATTGGCTGACGGAACTCGAAAGTACACAGCATTTCAAGCAAATTACGAGCAAAACGCGCGGAGCTGGTGCTTCTCTTTTCTTCCACTCGTTCTTCAAATGGAGGATTTGAAAAAAAAGTTTCTCCTCGTTCGTCGCGTGTTTTTCGGCCTCTCAAGTTCCGTTTTCCGTCATACTTGCACTGCTTCGTCCACAATAAGCTACTACGTCTTAATCACAAGAATAAGAGTAAGGCTGAGTTTGCGTGCGGCAAAACTTCGATTGTGTGGTGAGTCGAATTCGCTTTCTAAATATGTGTACGTATACAGTACCCAAGCTTAGGTATCGCGGGATCACAACTGCACGGCATCGAAAAATTAATGTTTTATCGAATGCCGAAAGTACTTGTACACATATACTGTGACATTATTCCCATTTTTCATTTTGGTGCAAATACAGTCGATTTATTTACCATCTCGGGTGAACCAAGAAACTTGAAAACCATAAATCTTTCGACTCTTCTCGATTCGATTGTTTGATTGTTTCCCAACGGCTATAAATATAGAGCAAAGTGGAGTACATTATAGTCTCAAACAAAAAAAAATACAAGCGGCGTGTTTCGTGCACACCACATGGTCTATTTTCCTCAACTGAACCAAACTATACGAGCAACACACAATATCATCGATTTTTTTACTTATTGTCCTAATTCTGTTGTTTCGCTGGTTATGAATATGATGAATTTCATACTTTCTCCTTTTTTTTTTGTCTCGACATTATGAATGTACTCAAAGTGTCTTTCGTTTATTTCTGTGCTACTTGACCACATGAATAGACATCCAATGGTTTTTCCTTTCCAAGACTCGTCTACGATGTTGTAGCCTTGACTGTGGATTAGAAACGAAATTGCAGCATTGCTCAATACCTTGTCTATAATCGTGCATTCGTTTGACAATGTTGCTACTGGCACATCGATGGTTCGTGGCGAAAATTGCCAAGTCAGATGCATACTATGAAACAATATATGTTTTCAAATCAATCTCCAATGGGAATGTGTGGATAATTGTTTTGGTATATGAATCTTGAAAATACTGGAAACCAACGTATGTAGGTACGATGTGTCCACATGCGTCAAAAGTGTCTTTTGAATATTCTCCAACATAATTTATAAGTTTGAGTATTTAAGTAACGATAGAATAACGATGGTTTCTTTCAAATCGCGCCCACAATTGTAGAGGTCGGTTTATCCAGAGAAAACGTAATTGAGATGATGTTTGTCGGGACAACTGAATCGTTAGAGCGCCCAGTTTGACGAGTACCGTGCCATTGTCGTTGATTCCGTATAAAACGCAAGCGTTTACTGTATCGAAGTATTACGTAGCGATTACTTATTACCAACGAAACGAAACAAAAGCACGAGTGAACCATTTTTTTCCTTAGCTTCATCAGCGTAGGTCGACAAGTACTTTTTTAAAAATCGCTCAACATCAAACGAGGCACGTCGACATTTTATTCATTATTGTTTATTTTTTGAAGAAAAAAAAAAAGATTTGCAATCATAATTAGGCATTCACTCGGCATTAACGAGTACGTAATAACGTTGTGCAGTAATGTATATGTACCAGCACGTTCCCAACGACGAAGAGGCCAATTCGAAAGATATCTCGATGTTATCGGCCGCAGTCGTGGCGTCGTCGATGCGTTGCCTCGAATTAAATTGCAAATCGACACACAGCCCGGATTTTTTCAGCACAGTTAAAAATACACGAAAGTATTAATGCTGAAAACTCGACAACGAGCAAATGACTGCGAGACACCCACGAGCGAGCGCAAGGGAAAATCGTACAGGCGAGCGTGTGCACAGAGAGCCAAGAGATGGGGACGCGTGGGCGTCGAGGAGGCGATTGTCTCTGGTAGCTCAGGGTTGTCGGGAAGCAAAGACGTGCGGCTCGCGAAGCGGTGCGTTTATCGCTTGTTCGCGCTGGGCCTTTTTTTCGTTAACCACGTTCGGGTACGCTGCAGTGCGAGTGATAATACACCCACCCCCTCAAAACCAATGCCTATCCGCGACTGCTGGACAAAACGTGCAGGCGCTCAAATCTCGTTAAGGGGGATAAGATAACGACACTCGATAATCGATCACCGGCGCTCCGGACGCGCTTTTTCCTTATCCTTCGAGAGCGAGAGCGTGCATAATATATAGTTACATTTGTGCACGCGTGTGCGGACGAGCGAGCACAGAAACAGTTCGTTTAATTGCCCGCACGAGGCAGATGTATGCGTTACCTATGCGCGCATATATAGTTACTAACGAGCCAGCGACGACGACGCCAATGGAACAACCGAACGTCCGATGTAGCTAATGAGGGCCGCGCGGCGCTCAGTTCGAGGTTGGGGCTTGCGAGGGATCGGGTGCTTTTGGGACCGGCTTTTATACGATTTGGGACGAGTACCGTGGCTGTCCTTGTGCAAGTCAGGTGGTTGGGTGTGAATAATTCATAGATCAGCCCCTGGGCGTGGCGGGACTTTTCCGAGTGTCATCGACTGGACGAGGTCAGGGTGCGTATTGCATTTTGTTTATGGTGTTCCAAGGTGTTGATAATGTCACCAGGGATCAAACGAGCTTTTGGGGCATTTCGCCTGCGATGCGAATCGGTGCTAGAGACGGAAAAAGCTGTTTACTGAACGGCCTCCCGAGTGATACCCGACTTTCTTATCTCCCGCGTTTACTGCTGACGGTCGGGGCACACCCGCTTGCGGCCAACTCCTCAAAAATAAAAGTGCATTTTTTTTTTCTTTTTTCTGTTATTTCGTGTGAAAAAAGTGTGATATAAGCTTGAGTTTTTTGTTAACTTGAGGAGTATTTCAATTTGTATCGCGTAGTGGATTGGATTATCGATTGTACGTGGAAGATAAGTGATTGCACCAAACGTGTTTTGATGCCACGTTCATCGTATCAAACATTATTCGTAGTGACAATTATTGGTCCTACTATTAATTTGATTGTAAATTCGTTAGTTGGAAATAAGAAAATTTTTCTCGTATATATACGTAAGTACAGGGTTTTCAAGAGCTCATTGATTTTTTAACAAAAAAAGTACATTGGGATTGTTAAGTGAATTTGAATTTCCAATAGCGCGAACGATCTCCTCTTTTCTATTGTTGCTATTCTCGTGCAAGGGGCATTAATTGGAGCGCTATACTGTTGCGGGAATAATTAATTATTTATGAATAAGCAGCAGCTCGAAATAACCGATCTCAGAAACAGAAGCGACATGATTTTCGCGCGTTCACCTTGATAGAGTCGATATAGAATGACATTCTATCGGCAAAACGCCCGTAGAAGGTGATAGACCTGTTTTTTCAAGACTTGGTTCTGGTTGCTATTACCTCGATGTACGAATTATAGTGGTTTGTGAGTAATTTCAGAAAATAAAAACTACTTGCAAGTCTGTGAAAATTTACAACGAGGCACACCTTCGGGGCAAAGATTATCTTTTTACACGAGTCGTTTTCACTATGTACTCATACAATAAAAAATGATTTTTTTATTTTTTTATTTTATATTGACACGAAATAATTTAATAAACTCTCAATATTTTTAATAAACTTGGTATTTAGTAATAAAATAAGGGAAATAATACTGTCGTGTAGGCGTGATTGTATTTATTATGTAATCAATGCGAAGCAAAAGCTACCCCCAAAGAATAGGTTGGCTAAAGGATCGCATCAAGGTATAGGACCTGACACCCATGAAAAATAAAATTTTAAATACCCATCCATGTTAAATGGGCCTTTGAAGATAGTATAGTCAACGCTTGATATCATGTTCTATCTCATTCACTTTTTTTTCAACACGACATTTTACGGATTCTACTTCAAGTGGCGCCAGACTTTTTTTCAGGTAACATGACGTAAATCAATAGCTTGATCGTTTGGATGAGTTTAGCTACGTACACAATAAAATAGTAGTTTTCATCCCAGAAAAACCATCGCCGTCGGGGCTATTTCGCGGCCCGAGGGACCGTAGAGTAGTCCCGATTCGATGGCACTTGTGTAGCAACCACTACTTTTCGATAATCACAATAGATAAGTAATGGAGCTTCGCAATGCGTTTTTTTTTTTTTTTTTCTAAAATACACAGCAGGTTTTTCCAGCCACTTAAATGTTGTCATCATATCTACAATTGAAATTGAGACAAAGAAAAAACAAATTTCATTCCGAAAACATCAAGTGATTATTAAAAGTTATCAGTAAGAAAAAGTCCTTATTAATTTTTTTGTTTTATGAAGGATTTATGCTTTTGCGCCACAACAAAGCTTTTATTGGCAACCAGTGTGTACGTTTTTAATCAGATGCGAGTATTAACATGAAACGCGATGCATGGTAAAGATGAAAAAAAAAAAAAAAAAAGCTATGCAAAATGAGATTATTAATTCGAAAGAGCGATAATTAATGTGTATTTGCATAATGATACACACTGGAAACACAAAGCTCAATCAATTTGAGAAATGATGATGGGCTGAAGGGTAATGTGTTTCGTTGAATAATGCTTGGTTGCGCGTGATGGACATCCTCATACGTACATGCACATTGTCAATAACACATATGTTCAAATTCATTCGAAAACAGCTTATTTTATTAAAAGCATTTCGAAATGAACATTGGAATCGTGTCAAATTCCATTGTACATCGAAAAACAAAGTACCGTACATCGATGTTTACTCGTGGGCATTTACAAATTGGAAATTTTTTAATCCCCGTTTTTTTTTTTTATCTCCGAAAGCCAATTATGATCGTACGTAACTGCACTCACGTACAAGACATATTGTGAAAAAGAATCGTAGAATTATATCGACCAAAACATTGTGAGATCTACAATCGATAGGGGATTTCACTGTTATTAGAACAATTGATAGCTAATGCTTAGGCCGGTGATTGCAGTTTTTACTCCGATTAAGTGTAATTTCAGCCAAGTGAGACTCTACGGCCTATACAGTTTGCAATCGTAGCAAGGTCAGCTGTAATTTTGGGTGGCTCTGGATCGATGTGTGTTATTGTCGGCGCTGCAACGTGCTTATTATCGTGTGCATGCGAATGGTGGAAAAAAAAAAAAAGTTTTTATTTCAACGACTATGAAGCACACTCATTGCTTTTTTTTCGCTTCAACAAAAGCTCAAACACTTTAATGAATAAATTAAGCTAAAGCTTTGTGATTTGATAACGTTTCAGGTGACGATGGGTGCGAAGATCTGGCAAAACGAAAAAGCCGCAGCCTACGTAAACTCGTCGTAAATGGCAATAATATGCCAAAGGTTATCTGACGTAAATATTAATTGGCCATTTACCGGAGTGCCTTTAAGTACATGAGTTTTGAGTGCTTAACTCTGAGGGTGTACTTTGAGTTGGACGGTTATCGGCAACGCCTCGCAGAGGTGTCAACGGGAGCAGCTGACGCTGTTTGAGAGAGCATATAGATAAGATTGGCGCCATAAATCCGGATAAAACAACAGAGAGGTGAGGAATTTTTTTGTATCTCGTCTCAACAGTTGCGAACATTGTAGCTAGTCCATTAACTATTGCATAATGACATTGTTGCAGCCAAGGCAATGATCTAATGACGCATGAATTTCTTAATATTTAATTATNCAATATATCGGCTTGGTGCTTTTTTTCTGTTCGTATTTTTTGCTACTAGGTTAATGAAACACTAAATGTTTAGACTTTGCCATGCGTGAGAATCTATAGAGAGCCAGTGTTCTTGACCATATTGGCAATTTCAATTGGTGAAAATATCCCACTTTGCTGACGCTGTACTGTACGACCTTTTCCTCAATGCACGCAAATAGTATAATACCAATTACGTACTCATCGGCGCATAAAATACGTTTCCAATGTTGGCAAGTTCTATGCATAAGTAATTCAAGTTCAGGGACGTATTCTATCGTTATTAAAACTTTCCTATTTCCGTAGGTATTTTTTCTCTTTTCTCTTGTTCTTTTTTTCCCCCCCATTGAAAATAGAGGGTTTCCAATATTTATTCAAAATTTATTGATTTATATCACTGTGGCTTGCCTTATTTTCCATTTGTTGCATTATACATTTGTGTACACTAAACACGTGATTTGGCAATGATCCTCGAATGTATACCCTTTGAAACGTATATTCAAGTTGTCTTTTACTGAAATATTTTACCTTCTTACTCTTCTTTTGCTTATTCTTCTACTTCTCCCGTTGAACCATAAATAAATGCCTTTTATTTACGTACGGTATTGAGAAAAGAAACCATTTGATTTATTCAGTGTCCTCGCAACATCTTATCAGCTACAAAGCTACACAAATAAACGACTTTTCTGATCTCATTTGCGATTAAATGCGGCGTTTGGAGCTTGAAAAAAAAAAAAAATTACCGCTTTGTTTGGCCTATAAAATTTCATGCATACGCGTATGGCTCGCGTGATTTATTAACGTTGCAAAATGTCAAAATGACCAGGTATCGGCGAAATGGGGAGTGTCGACGGCGAACTCGAGGAGATAATGTCGCACCTGGGCGAGTTCGGCAAGTACCAAGCCTGGCAGTTCTCGCTACACGTGATCGGCGGCCTAACGGCAGGCCTGCACATGCTCACCCTGATGACGGTCGCCGCGGTGCCCAGCCACAGTTGCGACCTCTCGGACCTCCATGACCCCAACACGACCCTCGGCCAACCACTGGACAGCTGCAGGTACCTCGACGCTGACAACCGGACACGGGCGTGCCAGGCCTGGATCTACGACACGAGCTACTACGAGTCGTCGCGCGCCATCGAGTGGAACTTTGTGTGCTCGCGCCGCTGGATGGGCGCCGTGGCCCAGTCGGCCTACATGTTCGGGGTGTTCGTGGGCGCCGTGACCCTCGGCAGTATGGCCGACAAGTACGGCCGCAAAATCATATTCTACGTGTCCTCGGTTTGCCAACTTATCTTCGGAGTCCTCGTGGCCGCGGTACCCGAGTACTACACCTTCCTGGTGGTCCGCTTCCTCTACGGGATCTTCGGCTCGGCGGGGGCTTACATAACGGGCTTTGTCCTCACCATGGAGTTGGTCGGGCCGTCAAAGCGCACCGTTTGCGGTATGATGTTCCAGGTGGCGTTCGCGGCCGGTTTCATGCTGGTCGCTGCTTGGGGCGCCATCATCAAGGATCGGTTCTGGCTGCAGGTCACCTACGGCCTGCACAGCGCCCTCCTGCTCGGCCATTGGTGGCTCATGGACGAGTCGCCCAGGTGGCTGTGGGCCCAAGGCCGCGTCACCGAGGCCCTCGACATCGTACAGAGGGCGCTGCGTTTCAACTCCAGCCCCGTCCAGCTCAACCTGGCCAAGTACTCGGGGACGACGGAAGAGCGGGTCAACGGTACTAGGTCGGGGTCCATCTCAGGGCCTGATGGTGAGCAGCAGCAGCAGAACAGCTATGGAGCCACGGATTTGCTGAAGACGCCGAATCTCAGGCTTAAAACGCTCAACGTCTGTCTTAACTGGTTCGCCAACTCCATCGTCTATTACGGGCTGTCGCTCAACACGGGGAACTTGGTGGGCAACCCCTACCTGATGATGTTCCTCAGTGGGCTGGTCGAAATCCCGAGCTATGTGCTCTGTATCTTACTGATGGACCGAGTGGGTAGGCGCGCCCTCATAAGCGCCCTCATGCTCGTCGGGGGTATCTGCTGCATAAGCGCCGCCTCGATAGACAAGGACGAGCCAGGTATGGCCGTGTACTCGGTTGTGGTGGTTCTCTTTGGCAAGGCCTGTATAGCTGGGAGCTTTGCCATCGTGTACAATTACACGGCCGAGCTTTTTCCCACGGTGTTGCGCAACACGGCCCTCGGCGTGGGATCGATGTGCGCTCGGCTCAGTGGCGCCCTCACCCCGATGATCATGCTCCTCGACTCGTTCGACCCGAAGGTGCCCGCCACTGTGTTCGGCTTCGTGGCTCTGTTGGCTGGTTTTTTGGTGCTTTATCTGCCGGAGACGCTGAACCAGCCGATGCCCGAGACCCTCGAGGACGGGGAGAACTTTGGTCGGGGCGACACTTGTTTCACGACATGCTTCAAGCGCAAGGTTAGGGACAAGCAGGCCTACGAGGTGGCGCTGCAGAAGATCGACGAGCCCGTCTATCAAAAGTGCTGATACAGTATAATCTTTTCTGCCGTGTTTTTTTTTTCCAATACTTTAGTCGCCAAGTATAGCGTACAGGGAGCATTTATTTATAAAAGTATAAGTTGTCGACACGGTAGCCTATATGAAATTGGGTTTTGATGTCTACTCGATTCCCAGCCCACGACTTCTGTAGCTTCAATTTTATTTAATTTCAATCGCCATTCGATGGTTCCTGTGGGAACTTGTATATACAAAATTGGTTCCTGTTGCTGCAGTGAAAGTGATTAATCAATAACAAATAATAAAAGCGTATGAGTTTTTAAAAACCTGAGTAATGTACATCGACAAGTGCAGCGAATGTTCAATAGTTTATACTGTAAATGTTTGTTCCTTATGGAACATCAAAGCGCGCGTTGTGTACAATTATGGTTTTTAATAATTAACGGAGTTTTTTTTTTCTTTTTTTTTTTTTTACTGCAAACACGGCTAATGCGTTTGAAGGCCAGGCGATAGCTCCTACGATTGTGTGCGTTTATTGTTATCTGTTGAGCAGTGAAGTTCCAATATTTACGCGCAAAATTTTGCAATTTTTTTTCCCTCACGAAACAACGAACAATATTAAATCTCTTGATACTGTATACGTACTATAATAATTAAATATATGTTTTAGCTCAAATCAAGTTTATTTTTGTATAGCTATCGTAGCAAAAGTCAGGAGTTCGGATGTAATTATTATTTTTGTAAGTACAACATTATGTGCCTTTGCACTCGAATAGTTACAAAACGTATTTGCAAGAATACGAACACAGCTGAAAATACTCTTGCCCAGTTTGTTGCAAATTTTAACAATTTTTATTTATTTAATTTTTGTTTCTTAAATATTTTATGAAACAAAATAAACTTATATAGATGTACTGTATATTAAAAGAAAGTAATTGTCATGATGTGTAAAAGTTTATTAATTTGTTAATAGCATCTTAGGCTGTGTGTAGAGAAATGTTTCGTGCATGTGTTGATTCATTGTAAAAACGTAATGATATTACGTAATTTGTGAGCCAACATATTCCTACGAGATTTAAAATATAAAGATATAGTCAGTAGGTAAGAGTATTTTTTTGTTTAAATTGTAAACGAAATAAAAATATTTTTATCCAAAGTATTTTCGTGAATAAAAATTTAAAACTGCCAAAATCATTTCAGCGATTTATTTCCTTCTAAAAAAGGTATAGCAGGTAACAAAATGTGTTTATAGCTACGTGGTCGTCGGCAAGGCTGTCAAGCTTGATTTTCAATCTTAGACTTTATTTTCCGGCTCAGCGCCACTTTCCATCAATTTCGTCCCAACTAATGGAAAAAAGTTGTTCTCAAAGGTGTCTCATGCTCGACAAATTCCCAAGATCATAAACCCCTTCATGGAATTTCAGGTCGTATTTTTATTAATTTTTTTTTTTTTTTTTTTTTTATTTTTTTNTTGGGGTCATAATTCTCATCTGGCAACCAGACGGTTTTTACGATTATTGAAAAAATTTTATCGGGTAGTATAAAATACTACATTGGAGTATAATAATTACACACGGAGGAAGTATAGGTGTGTCTGATGGTGGTACGAAAAAACGAAAAAAAATTTTTTTTTTTTTTTTTTTTTTTTTTTTTTATCAAAATATACAGTCACTAAAGTTTCTACTTGTTGTTGTTACATTAAATCTTATTAAAGATACTGATCGAAGATAGTTACAGTAACGAGGATAATTCACTTTTACGATATTGAGTTGAGCTTTACTTGGGGGAAAATTGCACTGAGCGTTTTGAGCATGGCAGTGACTTTAGCAAGAGTTGATAGGTGGAAACGTCTGTATTATCATAAGTTACTTAAAGTTTTTTAATTTTTTTTCATTGCTGTGGAGCGGTAAAAAAAGATTCCGTTTCAAACATTTAAGATCCGCATGTGAAGCATGTGACGCAAAAATACTTCAATATTCAGAAATTATTTAATTTTAGATCCCAAATGCCCAAAGCACATAAAAATAATAAATTGAAAGGCTGCATATACTTCATGATATTGGACATATTCAGATTTTTGCTCCGCTTGGAAATAAAAAAAACTAATCACTTTTTTCCAACTACTCGCTAAATGACATGTAGATAATATATTTATACCAAATAAACATGTCATTCACCCTCGAAATCCCAAGTAGATTTTGATCACGTTTGACTGACTAACATCATAAACAGTTTTTATTCAATTTTTTTGGGTAGAAAATAAAGATATACGAGGAAAAACCAAACGTTCAATGTAAAGGATGGCTCTGTTCATTCGTTTGAGAAAACAAAAATTTCTTACTATACTTACAAAAAGAATTTTTTTTCATTCAAGAGATAAGCCACTACTATATATTGTCCTTTGTTTTTAAAACACAAACTGCGCAAAATTGTTTATTTCTTCAAAAATAGACATTTTGATATGAGTACACGAGAGAGGGAAAAATTTATTCAACCACCCATTTTCCATATCCACACTGATATAAAGATTTTTGATACCGAGGAAACAAAGGTTTTTACATTGAGAGTATTTTTTGATTTAAAGTTATTATTAAAAAAAAAAAATAAATAAATAAATAAAAAAAGTTGATTATGTTCAGGGTGAAAGCGACATAGAACAGTTGGCCATAGTCTTGAGTCATCTCGGTTCTCCAACAGCGGAGTCGTGGCCAGAACTGAGTTCCCATTACAAGGACAAATTTTGGAGTGAAAGAGGTGATAAAGTTAGCGAGT